TGAAGCCATCGAAGCGCGCACGACGCGGAGCCCGGAGCGGTGGCCGATTCCGTTGCCTTGCTGAAATTTTTTCAAGTTCAGCCGGACCGGGGTTTCCTGGAAGCGGGAGCGTTATTCCTATCACGGCGTTTCCGCGGCATGGCACGGCGAATATGCGCCGTGCAGTTTTCAAGCCTCCTCGCAATCATCGCGCCATTCCTACAATGAAACGTTTTTCCGCTAGTGCAGTTCTCCGCAGTTCTCACACTTTTTGTAACGGGACGAGCGCAGGAAATGATGAATTTGCGCCGGGGAGGGGGGGAAATAAACCGGCGTTGCCAGTTTTCCTTCGGAATCCCCCGCGGTTCGTTCCGTTCCTGCGGGAGGATTCTCCGACTCCGGCAATGCTGAGATAAACGGTGGGACGTCCTCGAGAGAAAAATATAGAATCGGTGATGGTGGCTCTGCGCCGGGATGCGAGTGGTCATTGGCTAAAATTGTTCCGACGCTCGGTGGATCGGTGTTGCTCGGTTCCGACTTGGAAAGCTCACCGTTAGCTTTCGATGGGCATGATCGCCACCGCCCTCGTAGTCGTCGTGTCGGACACCGCCATTGTCAAAATCAATGTGCCCAGCGGGTTGATTGTTGACATTAATAGACAAAGCTACAGACAAAGAAGACATAAGGAGTATGGAGCGATCCTATTGGTTGAAATGAGTGTTCCCTATAGACTAAGGGAGACTGCCCTCGTAGTCATCGTGTCGGACACCGCCATTGTCAAAATCAATGCGCTCAGCCGGGCCTCCCACATCCCATTTCGGGCCCTGGCACCAGCTCTAAGGTCCTGGGCCCATGAATGCCGCCCCCTTCCCTTAACACCAGAAAAATAATATGTAATTTAATGAAAGTCAATGAGGTTAGAATGAAGATATTTATATAAAGTAAGTGAGAAAAAACACTAAGAAGTGGCCCGAATAGTGTATGTAACAAAGTGGAGAAGTGGTGTTGGGTCTACACAATTTTGCGGGGAAATCAAAACCAAGAAGTTCCAAACATTATTCACCGACAAGTGTGATCTGCTGATGGGGTCTAAAAAGACCCAAGCCGGTATAGATCTCTCGCCGTGACTCCAACTTAATATTCCAATGCAAACTGCCTGAGCTGAACACAGCTGAACACCCCCCCCCCCCCCCNAGTTTTGCAGTCAGTGCGGGGTCTCTATATGGTCTTGGGATCGCATGAGGAAGGGTTGCTATAGAAACCAGCGGGCCGATTATTGAAACTGATCGACAAAGCGATAGAAAAAGAAGACATAGGGAGTATGGAGCGATCCTATTGGTTGACATGGTTGGTTCTCATAGACTAAGGAAGAAAATGATGGACTAACTGTCGGGTTTCTTGTTGGTTGCCGTTAGTTAGTCTATTACTTACCTCCTTTGTCCATTGCAACCATCCGCCTCCACCAATAGGATTTCTCCATATCCTTTTTGTCGTCTTTGTCTATAGTTTTGTCTATAAGTTTCAATAATCGGCCCGCTGAGAGGGTAGGAGGTGGGCGAGGGCGGGCCGTCCAAGTTCCAAGTCGCAAGTGTCCAAGTGTCCAGGCAGGGCATGATCCTCCTCGGACCGTTGAGCGGAATGGTGGCGGCCGAGGGCGGAGCGGGTTGTGCGCGATCCTCGCTCTGGTAATTGTTTTATGGGCTACTTGCCGGGGCTCGCGTAAAATACTCGCTCAACCCGCTTCAAGCCGAGGAATTTCAGCAGGAATGTCAGCGCTGCACTGTGCACCGTCGAA